CTTCTCCCGAGCGTCAAGTCACACTTCGTGTGTCATTTCCAGGACGGGCGGCGACAGGCGGCGCACTCTAGGCTCACGACGCGTGGCTGCGCGGGGACAGCGCCCCGCCACCGCCGCCTGAAGTTGCCCTCCGGGCGCTCGGCGTCTGCGCTGCCAGGCCCGGCCTAGTGCGGCGGACCCCGCAGGGCCTCCGCCTGCGCGGGGCTTAGCTGCCCAGGGTCCGAACAGCTCGCCGGCCCTCGCCGGTGGGTGCACGCACAGGGCGCGTGCACAGGTGACCAGGGGCGCGAGGCGGAAACGCCGCAGAGGCGGCTGTCGCACAGCGAGGACGCCTGGCGCATTTAGAAGCTTCCAGGCTGCAGGAGAACGCTCGCAACTTACTCGTCATGGAAGGTTGGCCTCCCTGGCGGCGCAGTGGGTGGAGGCACAGCCCTGGGAAGCTGGCAGCAGGGGCGTCGGCCCGAGTTCGGAGTTCGATCCCACCAGCAGGTGACCCACAGGGCTCAGCACACCTCTCGGGTCTCCCCTCTGCTCCCTCAGCAGTGGACTTCGTCCATCTGCCTGTTCTGCTCCCCTCTCTGTCACTGGTGAATCCTCTCACCACCCCCCCACCTCTGGCCTGCACCCCAGTTCTGTGTGCATAAATAAATCTTTAAACACAAAACAAGGTCGCACGTTTAAATGCATCGAAATTGGGACATTGCATTGCTGTCATTTCCTTTCAAATTGACATCTTCTGTCTATTCTTTTCCTACACCTCTAGCGCCAGTTATACTTTCTATATTAATGCCCACAATTGAGTCTTTGTACACTTTGATGCTAGGAAAGCTGAGGAAAATGTAGAAATGAAACTCTAAAACAAGTACTCGGGTGGCCGTGACTCACAAAATACTGTGAATCTTTGAGAAATCTACACGTGCCAAGTCTACACTCTGATGGCTCCAGTGAGGACTGTGTTGTTGAGTCCAGTGACATTTAGGCAGAAAATCAATACTCTTCAGCCATTAGGTGGTTCTGTAGGTGTGTGTTGTCTGGTGACCAAAGTACTAAGAGAGCAAAAGAAAAAAGGTTAATCAACACAGATAATAACAGGTATTTTGGTATTTATTGTTCAAGATTTTATGTTGAACATTTTAACAAAAATGGTACATAGTAAAAGACAGTTTTATAACCTCCTGTTTTCACTTAGCAATATATCATGAACATCTTTTCTGGTCAACAAGTATTCTTCAACATCATGGTTTTATAAAATAAAGCCAAAACCTGTTAATCACTTTCGTTTGACATGAGGTGGGATAGCAAAGAAAGAAGCAATTTCTTCCTTTTTCTTTATTTTTTTTTAACACCACAGAACTAACTCCAAGATACCCACTTATCCTACTTGTGAATAGCTATAAAGAAAAGTTTAAAAAAGAATCTAAAATTTGCTAGGTCTCAATAAATACTAATTAGCCATGAAACTATATGAGAGCCAGATAGGTTTTTTTAACAAAGGACTCAAGTCTTCTACCTATTATTTTTTTTAGCAGTTAGAAACCACCCACAGTCCAGAATATTGATGGTTACTTAATAACATTTTCCAGTTTATTTAGAAAGCAGAGGGGAGAACTTACTTTATTAAAACACACACACACAGAGAAGGAAGAAGGTTGAACCCAATCAATTTTGCTTGAATAATTCAAGCTCAGAGACTTAATAATTAACTAGACACTAAACACATTGAGAGGGTGTTATTTTAAATGTTCCAGCTGAAGTGTGAACATGCTTGTTAACGAAACCAGTTTTAAGGCAAAGAAAGGCAGGGCCCGGCAGCCCCACAGGGCTGGAAGAGCTCCGATGAAATCAGCGTTGCAGGGTGTTCTTGGGGAAGACCCTAGGGGAGGTCTGTAAAAGTCTGCATGGGGGCTGGAGGCTGTATGTGTTTCCTTTGCAAACATCATTTATTTGAAATAATAAAAAAAGGTTTTATGACTTGATGGAATGATGCTGACCTTTTGAATGGAAAGAGGACACAAGAAGACAAGAAGTTAGGAGAGAGAAGACAGAAAGGCATCACTAAGCCTATGCCCATGCAAGCTCTCGTCAGCTAAACCTTTGATTCTTGCCTGATTTTAAAAGATTGTCCACTGACAAGTATTTATAACAACCAATGGCGCTCTTGCCTGGCTGTCTCTGACTCCACAGTGACTCTAGGTTCAGGGGTGGAGAGTCCACCCATCCACAAGTATTTGGAACAACCACGACTGCTTCTTATTCCCAAATAATTGTAGCTGCAGGGGTGGAGAACGGGGGCAAAAGATAGATGAGTGCCACGGAGGGCCTCGTGCCCAGCAGCAGGAGGGTATTTTTGCCACCTTCCCCTTCCTCTCAGCTGGCACAGCCTGCCCCGCAAATGAATGACTGGGCTTGATGCTCTCTCTGCCAGCAAGTGCTCGTCCTCACGCCATGTCTGCCTGCTGACAAGAATAACACACCAAAGGTTTACGTGATGAACAAACTTGGTCACTAATAATTGTCTTTTACATAACACAACATGCACTGTCCTGAGAACTTTGTGCACATTATTCCATCCAACCTTCCTAATCATACGAAATAGAAAAACATCACCTCTTTATCTGAGATAAGGTAACTGAGAGCCCTCCCTGGTGGTGCAATGGGTTAAAGCTCAGCACTATGAAGCTAGACACAGCTGCTTCGCACAATTTCCATGCCCAGCCAGGGAGTGACCCACAGGGCACAGCAGACCTCTCCTGTCTCGGGGCTGCTCCCCTCAGCAGTGTACTTCGTCGATCTGCCTGTTCTGCTCCCCACTCTGTCTCTGGTGAATCCTCTCATCACCCCTGTGCCTCTGGCCTGGACTCCAGTTCTATATGCATAAATAAATAAATAAATCTTTTTTTTTAATCAATAAAATAAATGATTTACCTCTGAACAAACTTTCAGTGAATTTTAAAGGGGCATAAGAAGTTTTCACCCCTCCTTTTTCATATTTATTTTGGCTTTGTTTTAATCCCTCAGAAAAGTTTAAAAACCAAGCAAACCTTCCTTTTTAAAGGCATGTTTACTAGGAAAACAGACTGATATTTTCCTTCTTGCTTATGAATGGATCTTGCCCATTTTACCCTGTTTTTTTATCTCTCTAAAAATCTTCATAGGCAAGCTCTTCTATAAGTTGGAAAGCAAACTATTCATAAAGATATTGCCCATTTTTAGAGCTGTTTAATGAACTTAAACACTAAGAATATCAGTGACATTCTTCAGGGCATTCCATCAGTAAGGAAAATTTGGTAAAAGACTCCATAGCCTTCTGTGGTGTCAAAAGCCAAGCCAATTAAGCCAGTGCTGAGGTGGAGCAGGGGGTGACTTAGCCAAGACCTTGGGGCTAGCAGCCAAAAAAGTAAGAGTGGAAGAATCCAGTTACCACCGTCTGGAAGTCTCTCTGGCCAAGGTTGTCAGTCACTGCCACATTATCAAAGCCAGTGGTCAACCTTAATCCACATCTCACTTGACCAGATTTAGCAAAATTTGACAGTGTGATCACCTTTCTCAATTGAAACTCTTTCCTCGACCTGCATCCTGCACCTCCTGATTTGCTCTTACCTCGATAGTCACTCAATAGTCACTCCTCTACCTTCTTCACTAGGTCCTCCTTGTCTTCCTGATGTCTAAAAATTGGAGTGTCCCAGAGTTCAATCTGAAGGTATACATACGTACACACACACACACACACACACACACATTATAAAGTCCCTGGGTCATCTCAATCTTAAGGAAACAGGTTCTCTGTTTATCTGTCTACTAACATTTTTTATGAGTTTGTCAATGACAGATAAA